AGCATATTCTGTGAACTCATTTGGTCTTACATCTCAGGGAACAGAATCACATTTTTATTTCTAACTATTTGGTTTATCGATGAAATACAAACCACATGTGGTACATACACAAGAGAAGATTCCAGGAATCTTTGTGCTAATCCACTTCCCCAGCCACCCCAAATCTCATCTGTGTATCCTGGTCTCTGAGAGGCAAAGTGGTAAGGAACCAGTTCTGCCCAGAATTGCAGCCTGGATTTGAGAGGCCCAGAAGTTAGGGCCAGTGCAATTTTATTTTATTTTTTAAATTAATCAATTTATTTTTAGTTTTCAACATTTACTTCCACAAAATTGTGTGTTCCAAATTTTCTCCCTATCTCTCCCCTCCCCCAGTACAATTTTATAACAAAGGGAACAGGAACTTTAAAAAAAAAAAAAGTACCAGTCTAGAGTAAGTCAGTGCTAGGCACCTTTTGACTACTCAGTCCTTCAGTGCCAGTGTCTGAATTTAATGGACTCATCAGTCCTTCTAACTGTTTCTACCTAGATCTCTACCATCAGTGGGATGGAGGTTAGTTAGCTTAGACAAATTGCACTAGCTAGAAGCTGTTCTATAGAATATTTTGGAGAATGAAGAGTCTGAGCTGATGCATACACATAGCAAAATCCACCCTCTATGAGTTTCTGAGCCAGCCTTCTAAAATGAATGTCAAAGACAGGAAAAGTATAAAACAGGGGGGCCTACAGTGAAATATGTATCTGTTAAGCCATGCACAACATGCCTGTCTCTGTCTTTATCACCAAACACTGTGGCAGAGTAAAGTAAACCCTTAAATTTAACATTGGTCCAAATAGGGTGTGCCCAACCCTTAATTAAGGTTGATATAAAAGACATCAAGGACACATTGAGGTTTCGAATGTTTATATAACAAGACAGACACCAAGTTTCAGCAGCTGAACATGTAAATTTAGCCTCTATGACAGATAGAGATTTAGAAGTAAGGAAGTAATTGGGGAAACAAGCCCTCTCCACATTACAAACATTCTCGGCCCATTAGCAGACCAAAAACTGGGCCCAACAATGGAGTCATTTTATCAGGCAAACCAGCTTTGTGGTTTTAGGCTATGATGTGATTTTTCTCTTTTAATTTTCTAACTGTGGCAGAAAACCAACAGGATAGGATGTCATAGTCAGTATTTCAGCCACAACATGGCTACACAGTTACAGAGAGCCTAAAGAGTCAGTCTGCATATTTCTCACGTAACCCGAGAAGATGTCGTATGAATTATGAGGGGACAGGTGATGGATCAGTGGCCTCAAAGGTCGAAGTCCCCTGAAGGGGTTCAGAAGACGTATGCAATGACCAGTGGCAGGAGGTGTTTCCTCCTTGTTGTGCCAGAGGCAAAAACTCTTTTTGTGGGTGCTGGGCTGGGAACATGGGGGAGGGAAGGGAGTGAGTTGTACTTTCCATGGACCACTCAGCTAATGGTTGTCAATCCAAATGATAAGAAGCAGGGCTTGCCTTAGCTAGAATACTGGGACTGGAGTTTTGAGGACAGATTCAAATGCTGTCTGTCTCTCTCTACTAACGGTGTGATCAGGGGCAAGTCCTTTAATCTCTCTGAGCCTCAGGCATCTTCCTGGGTCATAGGTTTATGGCAATCTGGAATGGTGAAGGAGTTGTCCAAGATGAAGTAATGCCCAATCCTTCACTTACATTTGTAATTCAAACTGTAATCCTTAGAGATTTTCAAGTGAGACATGGTTACAAATCCTGCTGTTTGGCCAGGCGTTCTTAAATTGCTGATATTGTTTTTGGGAAATAAATCCTGTTCACTACTGAGAAGGCAAAAACATAGATAAAGGCAAATATATATGACATGTTGGGCAAGTAGGTGGCACAGTGGATAGAGCAGTGGGCCTGGAGTCAGGAAGACCTAAATTCAAATCCAGCCTCCGGCACTTACTATATATGACCCCAGGCAAGTCACTTAACCCCAATTGCCTTGCAAAAAAAAAAAAAAACAGAGCTAGAAAGGATTTCAAATACCATCTAGTCCAACCCCTCATTTTACAGAGAGTAGAAACTTGGGCCCGAGGAAGCTAAGTGACTTGCCCATGTCACACAGTTAATAAGTGTCTGAGGCAGAATTTGAACCTAGCTCTTCCTGATTTCTAGTCCAGAATTCTAATCTCTATACCATGCTGCTAGAGGGAATGCTTAGTAGGTGAGAAAATGGCATCCAGAGTTATGACTAGCATTTTACGACCTGAGACAAGTAACATAAATTTATCTTCTAATAAACTTCATAATTCACGATAATAAAAATAATATAATAATTAAGACAAATTCAGTTGAAAGAGGTTAGTAGTGGCTCATAGGTGAAAGCATCTAGTAACTTCTGATTTTAACTAAATGCAGTCGTTTCTGCAAGGCTTTTACATGAACTTCTACAAGTCCACAAGCTAAATTTTCATGCTTTTAAATTTTCCTGCCTTAAGACAAAGCCTCATTCATTCTTCCTTAGTTGTAGCTCTGATGGCACCAAGTTTCCTATTTGGGACTCTTCTATAAGGAGAATTTCAAAGATTACAGGAGAGGAGTAAAGGGACTAGCAGTTTTAAAATAAGCCTTCAGACTTCCTGAGTGCAGAAATCTGCTGAGTCCAAGACTGCACTCAGTTGTGGTTACTTATGGAATTTACATTATTACATTCGTTTTACATTATTAGTAGCAGATCAGGGTGGCAGAATTCACTGGTTTGTGCTGTTGCCGACTTTAGAACTGATGGTTTCTGGAACATCATCTTGTTTGTTCAGAAACAAATTGTGGCTTTGAAAACACTGAAATACTGTGATAATACAAGGTCAATCAGGCAACGGAAGGGTGAGGAGAGAACAGGGCCATCTCTGGTGGGGAGAACCATGATTCTACACAGCTTGGAAAGCCAAAAGAAAAAATGGGCTGTGTTATCTCATGTGTAGACAGCATGAATACATACTACCTAATATTTGTGTGCAGTGCCTTTTTGACCCATGTGGTGGTGGTGGTGGTGCTGAATCATTCGGTTGTGTCCAACTCTACATGACCCTGTGGACTTTTGTCCTCGGGGTTTTCTTGGCAAAGATACTAGAGTGGTTTGCCATTTCCTTCTTCTTTGATCTGTGTAGTTGGGTTCAACCACAACTTTGCCAGACATTGATATACTGTTCCACGAAGATCTGGAAAGACTTGTGTGCAAAGATTTGTTTAAAGAGAGTTTTGCTCGGTTTGGCAACTTAGAGAGTTTGATAAGCAAAACATGACATTCTTCTGCCACCCCCTCCCATATACATCATAACGGTCTTTCTATTCACTTTCACCTAGGAGAATTCCCCAGTTTCCTTCAGAGTACAAGTCAGGTGCTACTTCCTAGCTGAGGTCTTCCCTGAGCTCCTCAATGATAAGGGCTCTCCATCTTGAAATGACCTTTTTATACACTTTGTATTTATTTTTTGGTTTCCATTGAAGTACAGAGCTAGAGCTGGGAGGCATCTCAGAAGCCACGTAGTCCAATCCCTTTACTTGAGAGATGAAGAAACCAAGCCCCAGTGTGGGGTCCCTATTGGGGGAAAAGCCACAAAACACAGGAAAAAGTGAAAGCCGTAACTTAAACACTGTGACAAGTGAAAACCCAGGCATAGTGACCAGTGAAAACCATAATGAGGACACGGTGACCAGCACATTACCAGTACACAAACCAGCATTTGGGCATTTGCCCAAACACCACTGGCTTAAAGCCCAGGTTGGTTACTAGGCAGAAACCTGAAAATATCTACCAATCCATAATGATATGCTCTACAGCTCCTCCTCCCTTTGTCTGTTTCCTGTACTTATCACTGAGCTTTCTTGAGGTCTTTGCGGGGATCGATCCTCTGCAGAGATTGTTTTACCTGGCTGCTGCTGCCCCAGACTGCCCCTATGTAAGTAATCCAATTGATTAAACTACTACCTATAATCAGTCTGGAGCTTCTGGCCTCTTTCTTTGGTATCAAATTAGCCCCTCTGTTTGGGGACATGGTGAATATCACTGTGTGTGGGAATTCTGGGCAAGACACCCAGGGAGGTTAAGTGACTTACCCAAAGTCTCAAGACAATGAACTTCAGAGTCAGAATTTGAACCCAAAGTCCTCAGGCTCCTGTGTTGTTTCTATTACCTCCCCCTCCCCCAAATAAGAATGGAAACTCCTTGAGGGCAAGGAACCATTCCCTTTTGTCTTTATATCCCCAACACCTAGCATAGTATCTGTTTAGTACCATACACAGTACCATCCAGTAGCTGTTTAATACTACATATTTGTGGCACCGAATTGCCTTGAAGGCAAGATAAACTCCTACTGCCCCTTACTGAAACACACTATTTTAAAGGAAATCCTTTTGGTTTTCTCAAGGCATACGTCAGTTAGTTCCTTAGGAAAGCAAACTGGTCAACCATACAGACACTACCCCAGTTTTGATAAGATTGATAATAAAAAGAAAGAGTGTAACAGGTTATAGGACCCATCTCTTTGGGGGGGGGGGGGAAGAGGAAGGGCTCATTGGGATACACTTCTCAGATCATTATTTGTTGTTGTTATTGTTGTTGTTTTCATTTCAGTCATGTCTGACTCTTTGTAACCCTCTTTGGCAAAGACAGTGGAGCGATTTGCCATTCCTTCTCCCCCCCCCATTTTATAGATGAGGAAACAGGCAAACAGGTTAAGTGACTTGTCCAGGGTCACACAGCTAATAAGTAAGGTTGGATTTGAACTCAGGTCTTCCCGACTCCAAGCCCAATGTTCTATCCACTGTGCCACCTAGCTGCCCTACTTCCTAGATCACAGATGCCCAAATACACAGAGATTCCCAGTTTTCAATATATGAATACCAGTGAAAGAAAGATGCTCCAAAAGGTATTTCTCTGTGAGTGATGCTGAAGGGGATTCTTTAGTGGAAAGCTAAGTGGACATTACATAAGGAAACATTAAAGGCATTCTCAGAGAGTCATTCTGTTATTGAACTTTTATTATCTTTGGTAAGATGCTGAGCCATACAAAATGGAGAACCACATGAGACCATGGCTAGGTTTCACCTGCAGCCCCTTAACTGAATACCAGATATGCTGCTAATGTAGCCCAGGTCCTGTCTTCCAGACCTTTTTAGGGATGGTTAGTTTCCCATCATTCACATGAAAGCCTCTGCTTTAGCTCCAGCCCATACCCCTAAACCTGGTCACCTTTCTTGCACATGCTCACTGTTGGTCCCAAAGGGCCCACATCTGCTACCACTTCTGGGGGAAAAAATAACAACGCACACACACAAAACAATGGAAACCCAAGGGCTCCTGCAAGTAAGTAGGCCAGGAGCATCAAACAATACATCATTAGTTGGGTTTACAAATAGGAGCACATTACAGACAGGCCAGAGAGAATGATACATGTAAGGAAAATAAAAAATAGTGGGAGGGGATCTCTCCTTAAAAACAAACCAGAGAAAGTTCCAAATGGAGCAGGGAAGGAAGGAGCCAAGCACAAGGCCACTAGGTTCTGGCAAATTTTCCTTTCAGAATTAGAAAGCTTATCTTTCTGGACTGCTGACACATTTACACAGTTGGTATGGATGCTATGGTATACTTTGACACACCCTTTGAAGATCTAAGGGGATATTATATTAGGGGATAACGTGAGGTTTTTTCACTGATGGAAGTTGCTCGATCTTTAGAGAACAGGACATCTGGTACTCAATTTCATTTCCTCAGCCAACCGAGTAAAATGAATGAATCAGGCCACTGATTTTTACATAACAGAAAGGAATGGATCTGCAATATGTTTCTTATATAACAAGCATCATGCCCTAGGAGAGCTCATAATGGCAAACTCTGGTGTTACTGCAGGATGAGTCATTCCAGTCTCAAACCAGCCAGGTCACATGACTTGGCACCCGGGTCCCCAATTGTTGTCACCCCATTTCCCCATAGGTTTTAGGTTAGTCACGAAAGCAAACTGAATCAGTTTGTGGAAAAACTCTGCTTCTGGGCAGCAGAGTCTCAGGTACTGGCAGGATGGTGCCACAGAAACAGAGGCCCTGTGTTCAAACCTCCAGTTTTGCTACTTCCTATGTGACCCTTGACCCCTCTGGGCCTTAATACATCATCTGTAAAATGAGGGAGGTGAATCAGATGGCCACTCTGGTAACCGCTAATTTTACAGTCCTATGATTCTCTAGCTTCTAGCTGTAGCCTTGGTGCAGAATAGAGTCAAGAAAGAAGCAGTTGCTGAATTAATGTCAGCATCCTGATGGTTCTGTGACAATGAGGGTCTGCCTCTAAAATAACAAACTTCTCTCCTATCAGTTAGCAATAGCATTTAATGTTTCTTGGATTGAACTCAACAATAAATCATTACAGACTATTAGAAATCCCTTGAATTTCCTCTTTGGATAATTTTTATTCTGACTGAGATATAATGGCAGAGAGATATTGTCCAGAATTGCACTATCCCTAGCTCCTTCATAGGGTTTGTTAATAGGATCAAATGAAATAATTGATGTGAAAGGAGATCACAGAAGGGAAAGGAGTATAGAGTAGCATTATTAATTACAGTCTTAGCCACTTTATTTGAATTATTCAGCAGCACTATGACTTTAAACACCTTTTCTGGGAGCTGTAACTTTTCCTTCCAATCTCAATGTGACAGTTCTGTTGCTAAGGTGTTTTCTCACTTCACATTGGCTCAGCTCTCTCATAAGAACCTGTGAGGAAAGCTTCAATCAGACTTTCAAGGTCCATGAGACCTTGCTCAGAGTTATGGTGCTGTCTCCTCTGTCTTAGACAAGACGCTTCTCTGATAGAGAATTCATAGCAGCACAACAGGACACCAAAGACAAAGAAGAAAAAGAGATATCTTCTTTTGTGAGTAAATGTAATATGAGTTATAGAGAATTGACTATCATGTGATAACGGCCATCATCTTTAATGAGTGAATATTAATGAGGTTTAACTGCAGGTGGTCTCTAGATGGTTTAAGTATATGATGAAAACATATGCTCTCAATAAATAATATGGAATAGGAAAGCCATTAACAAGACAGCAGTATCATAAGTCAGAGATGAGCTATATTTCTACAAGCTCGCTAGCCATATGGTTTGAGTTTACTTCAAGCAAGAAACATTAATAATAATTGAAATACTACTTTTCCTTTGGTAAGATAGTAGCTAGAGTTGTACCATTTGTGAAATGTGCCTTTGATAGACCTCAAGATACTGCTCAAAAGGCATCTATTTCACCGTTAGTGGAACACTTAAAGTCAGTATTTTTTTAAAGAGCAGGAATTAGGAATTTTTGTGCCTGGCAGAACTGTAATTAGCACAGGGTGACTAGGATGCCATTATCTCAGGAGGGAGGCATTCTTCTTATTTGCAACAGATATCCACCAGACCTTTGCTCATGGGTGTAATGCCCATCCCTATTCCTTCACTGCCTTGACTAATCTCACCCTAGTTGTCTTGTCACTCTACGTCATGCACTGTTAAACCAATATAACTCTAACCAGAATGCTTTGGGCCTAGGGACAACCAGGAAAAATAATACTGGTTGTGTACATTGCCTCCTACCCACACATACACAGACTTTACTTTCCCCAGGTGCTGGAATTCCTAGCTATATCTTTGAAGCTGGGGCAAATTTGCTGAGTTGCTGGTGGATGAGGCAGGGGTGACAGCAATAGTCTGCCCTGGTCAGTGCAATCGCGCAAGGAGAGAGAGCAGTCTGTCCATCAGAGATTCTAGAGTACTTCTACAGCATAGTGTAGAGGTATGGGGGGCAGCAGAGGAGGGGCAGAGTGGTGAGGCATAGTAGAGGAGGAAATGACCCTGGGAGTGGGTTGCCATGGCAATGACATCCTGGGAGGGGCCAAAATAGGGATGGACAGTCTTTTGGACTGCTCCGTGAAAGAAGAATGACCCATCCCTGGAGGCTGGTACCCTATGTCCTATGCTATAATTCTGTTTTGTTACTTGTTTTGACTTTTTTAATATAGGCATAAGCATGATGCAAGCAGTTCCTTGGAGTGTTTGGGAGGCCTGCTGAAAGCAGGAGTACCCCCAAGGTTCATGAGCAGGGCATTTTAAGGATGCTAGTTGAGAGGGAGAGGGTCTGTTTGCAAAGTTTCATTGGAATTTCAGAACTTAGAGTTATTCTGTAGCTCCTTAGCTCTCTTCTGCTCCTTCATAATCTCTTAGGGCTCCCAACATCTCTATGACCTCTAAGGTCTTCTCCAGCTATGACCTCTGCTCATAAAGGGTAAAAGGCTCCACTATTTATAGAGTTAATTTCTCCTTCCTTCTATTTTCTAAATTCCTTCTATTTGAAGGCCACCAGACAATATATTTCCCCTTTGGTACAATCTGACACTTAACCGATCAACTCTTGTTTTTCTTGCTTTTTCACATCAGCTTTATCTTGTACCCAACCTAAAACCCTTCATTGGTGTCTACTGTTCCCAGCAACATTCTACTCAAAGTCTTGGAAGGTTGAAGAAGCATAAGGATTTTCTATCAGTTAATTCTCCTTCTCCTCCTCCTCCTTCTCTTTCTTTGTTCCTTCTACCTTGAGATTCTCTTCCTTTCAGGGTCTTGTCCGGCCTTTCCCATTTGCAGCCGTTCACATCTACTTGGTTCTGCATCCCTGATCCCGCTTTCTGTGGGTGGCCCTCCCCTGCCCCAATCTTGTAATAAGTTACTCTGCTAATATTTGTGGGGTGTTAAAAGGAAGAGGGCTTTGAGCCAGGTGTTTGGGGAAAAGAGCAGACGGGGTTTGCTACCTCAGAGAGGAATTGTATGCAGTTACTAATGACTCATTTGGCATGTCCCTTAACACACTTCATTTGGCCCCACGCATGCACCTTTGCATTTGAGAGGCCTGTCCTGCTGCTGAGATCCACATAACAACGGAAAATCAAAACACAGCCTGGGACAGCCTGGCCTGTTGGCCCTAGCAGCATTTTGGTCCATTTGTGCCGAGCTTTAACTAGTGCAAACAGCTTTGCATAAGAGGGGACAAGGAATTTAAAAGCACGTAGTTTGCAAATAGAGGTGGCTGTTGATCTCAGGGTCAGGCTACCCAATAGGCAAAGGGACATTTAGGAATCCAGAAGAGAGGGAAGGAAGTGTTTGAGACTCCTGGGATTGTTCTGGAGCGGCCAACACCTGGTTCAGATTTCCTTACTCAGATGAGAGGGGAAGAAACAGGATGGCTTTCTGGCCATAGTGAGTCCTGGGACCTCTTTTGCAGCTTCCATTCTTCTTGAGGCCAACAAACCAATTTTTTTCCGCATGCTTCTTCGATACGTAGGTGTTGTAATGATTCTCCTCCAACCTCTCCAGGAACAAGCATTCTTCGCTGGGTGTCTGCTACAAAAAACAGAGAAATGAAATCTATTAGAAATGCCTCCCTTTCTATCCCTAGGACAATGCAGACAAAACACCTAGGGGAGGAGGAAAGTCTAGCCTACCGTAGTCTACTCCATATGTAGTATTCACTGAGGGCAAATTTGAAGTCCCCTTTGGAAGGAAAATGGTGAAATGCTACCATTTCATCCTGTTGAACTTCACTGAGCAAGGTTAGATTTGTGTAGAACCTCAGGATTATTATTGTGAATATAAACTCCCATTATAGACAAGACTATAGACTTAGAAAAGGCAGGAAATCTGGCTGCATTTAATTCTACCCCTTCAGTCTATACTCAGGAAGTTGCTTTCTAAAAATAAACCCCCAATATCAAATCTAGATCTCTAACCCTGACCTCTCTCCTAAGCTCAGACTTTTTATTTCTAACGAACAGTAGATGGGCTGACCCCAAAAGGCCTTTCCAGTTCTGAGATTTTGGGATACAGTCTCCAGCTGGATCTCCCATTAACACCTCAAACTCAGCAAGTCTGAAACCAAACTTTTTCTCTTTTCTACAAAATCTGCTCCCCCTCTTGACTTTGCCTTTTTAATAAAAATGATTTTTAATCACAGTCTAACACATTTCTAATCCCCTCCCCCATCATAGAACAGAAAGAAAAACAGCCAAAGGTGACTAACAAAAAAAACCAAGACTGACACAACATTCTGCATCCATAGTCACATACCTCTCTATAGGAGGAGAGAATCATCTCTTGTCTGGACCTAAAATTGATCGCTTCAATTAATCTAAATTCAGCTGCCTTTTAAGATTGTTGCAATTTATGGGACATTAGTTACTGTCTCTATTTTTTTAACCTGGTTCTGTTTATTTAACTCTGTATCAGTTCATACAAATCTTTCTTTGTATCTCTGAATTCTTAATATGTGCCATTTCTTATAACACACTAATATTCCATTACATTCATTGACCACGATTAATTCAGCTATTCCCTAATCAATGAGTATCTATTTCCTCTCCAGTTGCTTGTTTTGCTTTGGTCTTTTTGTTACCACAAAAAAAAAAAAATGCTGTTATGAATATGCTCACATATATGGGATGTTTCTTGCTGTTTTTTGTTTTGGGGGGAGTATATATCCAATTATGGGATCACTGTGTCAAAATACAGGAATTATTTTAATTACCTTTCTTGAAGAATTCCAAATTTTTTCCTCCTAATTTTTAAATTGTTATCAATTGTACCACCATTTACCTTGGTGGGAACCTTGATACTACTACAGTCCAGAGATGTCAAATACCCAACCTGCAGACCACATACTCCTGTGTGCTGCCTGAACTAGATTAAAATGTAGTTACTATCTGATTTTAATGTGCTGCTATAGTAATAAAAAAGAAATATATGTGTGTGGTTTTCTAAGTCAATATGGAGTCCATAGGAATTTGTATGTACAGTTTAGTATTTCTATTGGACTTTGTTTCTATTTGACTTTGATACCACTGCCATAGACTCTTCCCTTCTCAGGTTACACATATGATACAATTCAGGACTTGTCAAATCTTGTCAATATCTCTCCTATCCATCTATCTCTACCAGATTACAAGCCATTATTGTCATCTGCATGGACAATTACAGTAGTCCTCTAACCAGTCTCCCTGCCTTCAGATACTTCCTCCTTCCTCTATCCTGTAAACATTTGCCAGATTAATCTTCCTTATCATTAATTGGATCATAACATTACTACCTTCAAAGCCCTGAAATGGTTCTCTGTGCTCTCCTAAGCAAGGCATCGTAGTACAGTGGGGAAAATGTTGGATTTGTGGACAGAGGACCTGAGTTCTAATTGCGGTCCTTTCACTTACTATCTGTGTGACCTTGAACAAATCATTTATCCTGTCTGGACTTCATTGGACTGTATGACCTTTAAGGCACAAAATTTATGGTCCTAAAGGAAATTCAAAAGCCATATTTTAGGAAAGATATTGATAAGTTGAAGATTATCCCAAAGAGATCAACCAGGATATCAAATAGGATTGGCAAGTCACTTAACCCTGTTTGCCTCAGTTTCCTTATCTGTCAAATGAGTGGAGACTGAAATGGCAAAGCACTCCAGCTTCTTTGCCAAGAAAGCCCCAAATGGGGTCATGAAGAGTCAGACATGACTGAAAAATCCAACTTTGTCAAAAGATTTGGAAAGTGGGAATCTTTAGACTGTAGTAGAGAAGATTGCGGGGACTGGGAGAGGGCTAGAGGAGCAGGCTAGCTGCCTTTAGGTGTCTGGAGGCCTGCCATGGGGAAGAGATGTTCAATTTCATCAATCTGGTCCCAAAGAGCAGAGCTGGGAACAATGAGTAAAAGTTGCAAAGATGTAAAGTCGCTTGAGATAAGGAAAAACTTCCAAACAAAGATACAGAGTGGAATTGGCTGCCTTCAGAAGGATAGAGCTCCCTCTCATAAGAACCTTAGGCAAAGGCTGGATGACCACTTGTCAAGTATGCTGTGGAGGTAATTTTTGCACAGGTTTGTATTGGACTAGGTGGTCCCTCCTCATCTTCACTTACTGGCATCCCAGGCTTCCTTTGAGCCTCAACTAAAATCTCATGTTCTTCAGAAAGCTTTTCACAACCTTTCTTAATTCTAATGCCTTCCTTCTCTTAATTATTTCTCATTTATCCTGTATACAGCTTGTTTGTATGTAATTGTTTGTTTCTCTCCCCCATTATATTGTATGCTCCTTGAAGGCAGGGACTGCCTTTTGCCTCTTTTTGTATCCCTAGTGCTTAGTACAGTGCTTGGCACATTGTAGGTACTTAATAAAATTTTATTGACTGATGAGGCGGTCAGTCAACAATCACTTATTAAGCACCTATTTCTTGCCAAGCACTCTACTAAATGTGAAGACAAAAATCCATCAGATTGTGACTTCTTTGAGGACAGGACTATCTTTTGCCTCTCTTTGTATCCCTAGTGTTTAGTATGATGGCTAGCACATTGTAAACACTTAATAAACACTTATTGACTAAGAAAGGCAAAAAGACAGTCCCTGCTCTCAAGGATCTCACAATCTCATGAGGGAGACAGCATGCAAACTATGTAGAAATAAGACATATGGGGTATACACTGAAAGGGAACACATAACCGACATACACAAGGATACGCAAGAGAGAGAAGACACTAGACTTAAGAGGCATCAGGAAAAGGTTTTTGTAGAAAGTTGGGTTTTAGCTAGGACTTGAAGGAAACCAGGGATGCCGGAAGGTGCAAATAAGGAGGCAGAGAATTGCAAGGATAGGAGAGAGCTAAAGAAGATGCCTGGAGTATGGAGAGAAAGTGTGTTGTTTGATGATGACAGCGAGAAACAGTGTCACTGGACTGAAGAACACACGGGGGCAAGTCAGGTGGAAGAAGACTGGAAAAGCGAGGGTGTTGAGTTATAAAGGGCTTTGAACACCAAACAGGAGCTTATATTGGTCTTGTGGGTGATAAGGTACCACTAGAGTTGAATGAATAGGGAGGTGACACGGTCAGACCTGTACTTTAGGAAGGCTAATCTGAGAGCTGAGCAGAGGGTAAACTAGAGGTGGGAGAGACTTGAGGCAGGGAGACCAACTGACATATTGCATATAGTCTAGGCATGTGGTAATGGGGGCTTAGACTAGGATGGTGGAAGTGATAGAGGAGAGAAGGGGTCACAAATGAGAGATTTTACAAAGGAAAATAAACAGCCCTTTGCAACAGATTGGATATGTGGGATAAAAGGAGTTGAGGATGATACCTAAGCTATGAGCCTGGGTCAAAATGATAATACACTGGACCACAATAGAGACATTCAGGAGAAGAAAGGGTCGGGGGTGGGAAGAGGAGGAAGATAGTGAGTTCAGTTTGGGACATGTTCAGTTTAAGACGTCTATGGTATATCCAGTTCACGATGTCCAATGGATAGCTGGAGATGCAAGTATGGAGGTGAGGAGAGAGTTTAGGGCTGGACACACAGATCTGAGAATCATCAGCACAGAGAGAGTAACTGAATCTATGGGAGCTAATGAGATCACCAAGTGAAAAATATAGAGGGAGAAGAGAAGAGGCCCAGATGAGAGCCCTGCGAGACACCCAGGGTCAGCAGGCATATATAGATTAAAATTCAGCAAAGGAGACATAGGAATAGCCAGACCAGCAGAGGAATGAGGAAAGAAAAGTGTCACCAAAACGAAAGAGAAGAGAGTATCAAGGAGAAGAAGATGATCGGTGGTATCAAAGGCTGGAGGCGACTAGATAACTCAGTGGATAGAGCACTGGGCCTGGAGTCAGGAAGACCTGAGTTCAAATCTGGCCTCAGATACTCACTAGCTGGGTGAGCCTGGGCAAGTCACTTAACCCCTGTCTATCCAATCCACTGGAGAAGGAAATGGTAAAGCACTCCAATATCTTTGCCAAGAAAACCCCGTACAGGATCACAAAGAATAGGATATGATCTAATGACTGAACAACAGCAATTAAAAGCTGGAGTGCAATCTCAAAAGGAAAAGGACTGAGGAAAAAGCCATTAGATTTGGCAATTAGATTAGATCATTAGTAACTTTGGAGAGAGAAGTTTCAGTTGAACGATGAGGTTGAAAGCCAATCTATGGAAAAGGAAGACATCACAACCTTTCTCTATTGATTTATGGTGTAGGGAAAGGACATCTTCAACTCAATGTTTCTGAATGCCTATAGAGAGAATCATAACTATAACTGCCCTCTCCAATAATTTGTTTTCCCAGTGGCCTCATGGTGTCCCCAGGAACCTTGTGTCCCTGGATCTCACACTACTCTCCACTCAATGCATCCCAAAAAGTTGATTTAAGGATGCATTTCCAGGTTACTTGCCCTATGCATATTGTGTGACCTTGTACCAAAATATGTATGTGTGTGTATATATATATATATATATATATATATATATATATGTATATATATATATGTATGTATGTATGTATATAAATATGTATATACACACACACATATAT